GAAAGAGAAGTCAGGTTGGTTCTAGAGGTTTGGAAGTGATTTTCCAGGCCACAAATAGCCTCGGCAATTGCGAATGTGTTCAAGAACGCAGTTTAACAGCGTGGGCTGCACCACAGGTACTAGCTCTTTTCACGGGGTGGGGGCACGATGTGGTGGGAAACTTCGCTTTTGGATTATGCTGGGGCCTCACCCCTTGCCGCACCTGCGACAGAGGCGCACGCGGGGGTCTTGCTTCGCGCGGGCGCGAGCCCAGCTCCCGCCTTTCGAGCAGCACACCAAGCTCTCCACTGCCAAATTTCAATTCCTGGAAGGTGTTTCTTAGCTTTTTTTCCAACATTGTCTGCTCAAATAACTAAAGCCAGCCCAGCCATGGAAAGAATAGCTAGCGCACCTGAGCAACCAGGGAATCTTGGTGCTTGGCCCTGCTGAGTTCGCGGTTTGGGGTGAGGGAGGGAGTCTTAGGGAGCTGATACAGCTTCCACAGAGAGAAATTTTAAAAGATTGCTGTAGGCTAGCGCTGGAAGAGCACGGTGGGCCAGGGAAATGGAAGTGAGAGGGGGAGCCTTGGTGACTGGAGGGGGAGAAAATGTCACCTCTTTTGAGAGTTTTAAAAAGCAGATGAAAACAACCAGTTCAGGTAACTAAGAGCATCTCAGAGAACTAGGGAGGGGAAAGGTTGTTGATTTTCACAGTCAGCCTTTTACAGTCTTTACTTCCACAGAAACCCTGTTAAATTCCATTTCATTTAACTGCCAGCTATTTTCTGGTATAACGTTTAATTTTAAGCAGTGCAGGAAACCATCTGTTTTAAAAGGAAATGATGGCATTGGAGAGCTTGCTTCCCACCCCCCGCCTTGGCCCAACAGCTATGACAGCCCAGTGCTTTGCCAAAGATAACTTGTTTACTAGTCTTACCAAGTCAAAGCAAGCACTGACCTGCCGCCATTGGAATACTTAACAGTTCATTGCCGCTGCTAACAGTACTAGCTAATCTTTGCACTGCAGATGCAAAGATTATTGTAATTTTTTTCTTTGATTTGCACTAGTCAAACCCATAGCTGACTGCACACGGGTTAAGATGCGCTCGAACTACACATACGAATCCTCAAGAATGGTTAAAGTCTTTGAAGTCTAATCAGTTGCTTCTTCTCAAAGATTTTAAACTTGAAATGAACACCCTCACAGAAGTCTTGTCTTTTTGCTAGGCGGTGACGAGTTCTATGGCATCATACGTTTCTCTTCCCACCACCCCAGCAATACTACATTGTCTAAAATAAGTGAAAAAGTCAGTACCTGAGGAGCGTCAGACTCGCAGCTTCACTGAGGGCACTCCTGGGAGATGTTTCTTCTCTGCTCGGTAGCGCCGGCCTTCATGATCATCACTTGGCATAGCGCCAGCCGCTCCATGCCCCATCACTAAGTGCTCTGCGTTTGCATGTTACCGTTTCTCCCAAGATTGGCTGCACCTTTGCTCTGAAGTTCAACACAATCAAGTATCAGGGACAGAAGAGCCGTAAAAAGTCTATGAAATCCACGAAGCTGGGGGGTCCCTTTTCACATTAGATTTACTAAGCTAACAGTACTGTCTTCTTTACCATGTCAGCAAGGTGGGTCCTTGAAGTGAATGCATTACTCATTCACAGAGCAGGTGAAGCAGGAGCTTTCCACATTGCCAGCCTCTGCCGTGAACTGAAGCACAGCTCAGCCTCAGTGGCCTCGGTCCATCTCTTTCAGCGTTGCTTTTAGTCACAGTGTTAAAATGTATTTTCTTTCTTTACCTGTCATTCATTTTAACTAAGCATACCATTACTCAACAGCTCTCAGCACTAGCCCCTTACATGAAAGTTTCAGTATATTTAAGTTACCATGAACCATCTACTGCTATTTGACAGCAAATATTGCCTGGATCCTCAAAAAGCAGTATTCTAGGGCTTGCAAACTCTTCAGTTAAGGGCTCTCGTCTTCACCATGTTGGAAAACCCCACTCACTTCTGTGAGTCTGTATAAGGGTTGGTGCTCAAAAAATCCGTACGCTAGAAGAAAGGGTAGTCCACAGAGGGTAACTGGTCGGCCAGGCTCCCGACAGTTAGACAATGAAGCAGGTCGTATTTCTAATCGCTAGAAAGTTCATGAACCAATGCATCTCAGCCTTCTTCACTTTAAAACTAAGCTTCTGTCCTCCCCTCGGTCTGAATGCAGACGGCCCTCTGTGCCTGGAAGCTGGAGTTTATCCAAACTAATCCTTTGCCTCACTTGTAAGATCAGGCTTCTTCTACCACCAAGATGTTCTGTGAGGTGTTCTGCTGTTTTTCAACTCTCGTTTTTGAACGTGTGAGCCATGCACGTATTTTTTCAACGCTACAACACAGGTTGGAGGGGCTTTAGGAACTGCCACAAGAACATTGTGTTACCAAGAAAGGTTTTATTTTTTCTTGCCAGTAGCTTTGTTAATTGCACAAAAATCTTTTTGTTTTGCCATTTAAACATTTTCACACATCCTATTCTGAATGACAAACGTTAATTAAAAACAAGGCAAAAAAATAAAAATTCACAACCTTAATTAACTATAGGATCTATCATTGAGGAAAAAAGAAACTGCTTTTCTTACAAGCTTTTCACAAGTGTCACATTTTCTCTTTAAAAAGGAGGGAGTCAAAAAAAAGCAAATTGCTAAAACAGAAATCCTCATAAAAAGGAACTTTACAGAATTGTCAACAATATTAAGACAACATTGACTAGCCAGTTTTATTAGAGCATCTCTCAATCCACAGCTTTCCCCCCTTCCCTCCCCCAGATCTCAGGCCTAGGAACAGAATAAGATCCATGTTCAGAGGCTACAGAAATAAATACAAGAATCCAAGTGAGACTGACACTTCAGTCAATCTCCATCTGAAACGGTCCAGTTTTCACCATTTCCACCCCTCCTCCTCTCTTTGGATCCACTGCAGAGCTCTCAGTCTCCTTTTGCTCCCTGGTGTATCTTTAACTGTACAGTCCGCCAGGCAGCACCACACCCTCCAGCCGATCTACACCCACCTACCTAGCCAGAAAGCTGCAGCCAGACTTTTACAGGATAAATTACAGTGTTTAACTAGTCTGCGCCTGCCCCTCCCACATACACAATGGTCTCCATTTTGAGAACTACGGTGTTTCTGGAAAACAAAACCTGCAGTGGCAAGATGACTGCGGAGTGGTTCTGCCCCTCACAAATATGATTCTTTGAATTCACTACAAAATATGTCATGAGACTTGAGAGCTCCTCTTTTACACCTATCGTTGTCAGAGGCACCACAGAGTATAACAGAGGGAGACCCTTGATTAGACTGGCTCAGACCCATTCACCTTCAATCTATCCCAAGTGGCCTCTGCAGGGACAGTTCAGGGACTGCTGACGCAGCACAGTTCCACTCCTTCAACTGGATCTGAGACAGTATTTCCCTCCCCCCAGCCCCCACTTTCCTCCTCAAATGCATCTTACACTATAAAACCTGTGTCCCTAAATGCACAGTTTCCCCCAGATGCCCTCACTGCGCAATCGCAATCACAATCACGTTAAGTGATTTCTTAACTGCAGTGTATTTAACCAAGGATTTCTGAAGCTAATTGCTGAGTTCTGCTGGATGGGGGAAGCGTAAGTATGTCAAAAGCAGGCTAATGGCTGGTTATCCTGGGTAGTTACATGTGCCTTTAATATGAATATCTACATGCAGAATGACAGTTGTACTGCCAAAGAAACATGTCTGTATAACTAATATTGTTCACATATACCACTGACAAACAGGCAAAGTGATGTGCAACAGATCTATTACTAGATGTTCACCACAGGACATAATGCATAATACAATATTAGCCCACAAATAATAGTGATCAGCGGAGGTGAAATATTCAACACAAAGTAACATTTACAGCATTAGGAATTAGATGTCATGTTCCATAACGAGTATCTGATACTTTCTCTGCTTCTTAGTGAGGTGCCCCTGAGCCATAACCTCATGTTGCCCAAAGCAGGATTGGCAAGAAATCCTGAGCCACAGGAAAGTTTCCCTAAACAGCCATTAAGTGCCTAGAAACATAAAACGGCAGGAGGGGCAGACCTCAAGGATTTAAAGGAACATGGTCTACTTGGAATTTGCTTTCTTTTCGTTCAGAATCCCAACCCACGGGAGGAGATTGTGTCACTAAGAAGTGATTTTGGCCAAGAAAGCTTCTTAGTGGCGTTTTACTAACTCTCAAATCTAAAATGCAAGAACCTTCCTAAAAGGCTAATACTGAGAAAATTAAAAACCCCGTGCTGTATGCATTTTTAGAGAGACAGGCATCCTTTGGACTCTGGGTCACTCTGTCAACACTGACAGCTTCTCTGCTCTTAAGCATTGGCATCTGCAGCTCAATTCCCACATTCCTTGGCTAGAGCTCAGCAGAAGTCTTAGGCTCCCATTTTCTTTACTAGTCTTTCTACGAGTTGGTATCTGGCCACAAGCAGAGTCAGAAGTACAGGGAAAACTCTCATGTTGCGCTAGTGTTGCAGCCAGAGTAGTAGCACTACAGACACGTATGGATAATCTGACATGTACAAAGATCACCAATCAGTACACAAAATACCCCTCTGAGGTAGGTAACTATCACCCACCTTTAAAGATGGGGAAACAGGCTAAGAGTTAAAATGACCATGCAAAGGCCAGAGAGATAGCCTGGAATGGAGCTCGAGACCCTCAAACTCTTGGCTCTACAGTCATTCCCCTCACCCCTTTCAGACTCATCACTCTGCTTGTGACACTGCTACAGTCCAAGAAGCCTTTGTAAATAGTAACTGCTAGGGTATATTAAAAAGAAAAAAAGAAAAAAAAAAGCAAGACGTAAATCAACATAAACTAAGGCCAAGAGCAACCCTAAGGTTTGTTCCTTCACCAAGCAAAATACCTCTGGCCCAGTTTTAAGCTGTACGCTTTTCTTACAGTTTTCTAGGCAAACGTTAATCTCCAATACTGTTTGTGGGATGGGTAGCCGTGATTAACCCGTTAGGAGGCTACATTTACACTGGCGTTCTCTCATTTCCACTAAGGTCTGTGTTCCCTAAGCTAAAGTTGTCTGTACAGGGGGAGGCATGGATGCAATCGGTTCTTTCTAACAGTATGAGGAATTTCTCCAACAAGGTGCCAGGAAGGTGGAGGTTTAAAAATGAAACAGAATCAAGACAGCGTTGCATGCAACCCCATTACCTTCTGGAACTGCCCTTCTCCTCCATGGGAGGTGCTTTGTTCTCTAACAGTGGGTGATGAACAGGAATGCTCCTCACCTTAATTGGGACCAAGGCCTTTACTAATATTCACAGGTAGATGGGACATATGTCACCTGTCCCCTTGATGCAGAGAGTCCAACACACACATTATTTCACAGCAAAGGAGAAAAGGGATCATTAGAAACAGCATCTTGGACAAGCATACAAAGAGGAAAACAAAAGCAGCCAAGCAGCAGATTTCTGGCAGAGTTGCCTCAGAGCTTCTGAACGAGCCGCCACTGTCCTGTTCCATGACTGTCAGTGCATGGCATGGATTTTCTAATCAGACTGCAACAATCCGAGCCCCCTCCTCCCCCACTTTGCCTCCAGGGGAAGGCTCACTGCAGCAGCTGCCTTCGCGGCAGATCTCAAAGTCTGTGTATAAAAGGAAATGGAGAGACAGAGATGGACTGGTCCAGAGTTAAAACCCAGTATCATAATAATATTAATCAATAATCATAGTATTAACAGTAAGAATGGTGCAGCCTAGTGGATGTAGGCCCTGTACACTGCAGACATATCGTTGTCCGATTGGTCCAATGCTTTTGCTCGTTTATAGACCTAGAGAAGACAAATTGGAAAAGGATCAGTGACTAGTGCTCTGAGTAATCAGAACAGCACAGATCAGAACATGCTGGGTCTTGTTTAGGCCACCTGTGTTTACCGAA